ATTAGGTCTGATCGCTTTCTGTCTGTCCGCGTGCCTCGTGCATAGCCTTTTTACATTTTCAACTTCTTCTCAAGAACCAGTGGATGGAATTTTTTCAAACTTAGATGAAATTACAAAATTGTAAAATTGGGATTCCTACCCTAAACCCTGGGGCCAGGGCGGGGCCCCAAAGGGAAAATTAACCAATATTTCAAAAATCTTCCTCTCCAGACTCGGAGTTACTGCAGTCATTTTCTTTGCATGGATAGAAAGATCAACAGGGGCGTTATTTAAATTGTAAATTTCAGAAACCCCGAGCTATCTGTTCTTCCTTGGGGAGGGGGTAAAGTTTACTATAGTTTATATAGGGAAATAACACTTTTGGGTATATTTTGACAACTTTCAGTAGGAAATTATTCTTACTTGATTAGAATTATCCTTGGAGGAAGATGGTTTCAAATTAAAAAATTGGGATTCCTACCCCAACCCTAGGGGCCAGGGTGAGGCCCCAAAGGGAAAATTAACCAGTATTTTTAAAAATCTTCTTCTCCTGACTCCGAGGTACTACAATCAATTTCAGTGCATGGATAGAAAGATCATCAGGGGCGTTATTTAAATTGTAAATTTCAGGACCCCTGAGACATCCGTTCTCCCTTGGGGAAGGGTTAAGTTTACTATAGTTTATATAGGGAAATGACACTTTTGGGTATATTTTATCCATTTTCAGCAGAAAATTATTCAAACTTGGTCAGAATCATCTTTGGTGGATGAGGGTATTACACTGTAAAAATTGGTATTCCTGCCCCATCCCCAGGGCTAGAGCGGGGCCCCAAAGGGTAAATTTACCAATATTTTAAAATTCTTATCCTTTGATGAAACGACAAGTATTGTATTTCACTTAGTTTACATGCTGATTTCCACATCACATCTCAACAATAAAATTGGAACTACCAGTACCTATGATATAAGTCAGGCCTTTGGGCCTCTTGTTAATTATATATATACTGGCATGATTGTTCGGGACTGGTTTATTCAATTTATATAAATATTTTCTTTCTTGATTTCATGCATTTTATCATCTAGATCTTATTATGCTTCTTAAATCATTTCAGATCTTTTTCACTTGTAAACTTTTTATTTTCACAACACTAAGTGTGAAATATTCCTATCTAATCTGCCAAGTGTTGTGCTGTTTTGCTTCAGGCCTCTGTAGTGCATCTTCTACTTGTATTCACACCACTACCACTACTACTAACCCACCACCACCACCACCACCACTACCCCACCGCCGCTCCAGCCCAGGTATGACCTTCTCACTAAACACATCCTCTAACCATTCAAGTCTACAAATAGAAGCAATTTTAAGTCAATATGAGAATACTAATATTAATAATTTGAGGTTCCTATATGCCGCTTTATCACATCCTAGTGCATAGGTCGTCTCAAAGCGGTTCACAAATTATTATCAATGGTTATAGAGCCTTTGCAACCAGCCAATATCTATCTCAACTCTCTGGGGAGCATACAGCCATTGCTGCCATTTTGGTGCTCACAGCTAGCATTCAAAAATTCTAGCACTGCCCAACCACGTACTCATTTACAGCTGAGTAGACTGGAACAAGGAAGTAAAATATCTTGCTCAAGGATACAACACAGTGCCGTGACGTGACTCGAACCTGCAACCCTTAGGTCACGAGCCCAGCATCCTACCACTAGACTACCGCGCTTCACAATAAAAAAAATTAGATGGGCCATTATATGAAAAGTTAAAAAAACACTAAAACTGCCTCTTTTCAGTTTTGAGGGATGCAGGGCCTCGTGGCCCCCTCCAGGATTGTTCCTGCAATTGGGCTGTGACACAGTTAATTCTTCCTTCTAACATCGGTTCTGCAATGATTCTTTCAGCTTCTTCATCCTCCTTACTTAAAACATATCATTTTTAGCTCACCTGGCACGAAGGTGCGGCGTCTGTCATCCGTCGTCCGTCCGTCCGTCCGTCCGTCCGTCCGTCCGTCCGTCTGGCGTGCGTCCGTCGTCAATATTTTACTTTAAACGACTTCTTCTTAATAACCTAAAGGCCTAGAGTGATGATGTTTGCCCAGAAGCAAACTGGGATGAAGGGCTACCAAATTTGATCAAATAAATGACTTTCATCTATTTTCAAGGTCACGTGGTCAAATATGTTAAAAACTTTAAACAACTTCTTCTCAATAACCAAACTGCCCAGGGAGATGATATTTGATCAGTAGCATGCTAGGGTGAAGGGCTACCAAGTTTGTTCAAATGAATGACCTTCAATTATATTCAAGGTTACAGGGGTCAATTGTCTTAAAAAACCTTTAAATAACTTCTTCTGAATAACCAAAATGCCCAGGGTGATGATATTTGGCCAGTAGCATGCTGAGATGAAGGGCTACAAAGTTTGTTCAAATGAATGACCTTCACCCATATTCAAGGTCACAGGGGTCAAATATGTTAAAAACTTTAAACAACTTCTTCTGAATAACCAAAATGCCCAGGGTAATGATATTTGGCCAGTAGCATGCTGAGATAAAGGGCTACAAAGTTTGTTCAAATAAATGACCTTCACCCATATTCAAGGTCACAGGGGTCAAATATGTTAAAAACTTTAAACAACTTCTTCTGAATAACCAAAATGCCCTGGGTGATGATATTTAGTCAGTAGCATACTAGGATCAAGGGCTACCAAGTTTGTTTAAATGTATGACCTTGAATCATATTCAAGGTCACAAGGAGCAAATATGTTTAAAGTATTTCAACAACTTGTTCTGAATAACCAAAAGGCTCAGGATGTTGATATTTAGGATGTTTATACTTTGCAAGTTGCATCCTGAGATGAAAGGCTATACAATGTGTTCAACATAATGACTTTGTTCGACTTTCAATCACAGGGGTGAAATGTTTTTAAAAAAATTAACAGGGTCTTTTGAACGAATTTTAATCATAAATACTGATATTTTGCCTGTAGCTTTATTTTAGATCACTTTTAAGGTTACAATTAAATGTGAGATTTATACCAGGTGAGCGATGCAGGCCCATTGGGCCTCTTGTTTTTTTATCAAGGGTGTAGCATCTGAAATATGATATGATTTCAAATCACCTTGTTAGGCCAGACACATATTTTGGTTCCCACCCACCAGTTTTCAGAATAACATTTTCTGCATTGATGTAGAAAGTGTTGATAGAACAGTTTTGTTTTATGGAAAGTATAACCCTATCTGGATATTGATTAAGAAAGCAATCGGTGCTGTTGTAGTCTGGATCAGGATTTTCACCATAATTTCTTAATTGATGAAGTGGTTTGATTAAATCTGAAGCCTGACATCACTGTACTGTAAACATATTTTCCCCATGTGGCCCTGATTAAAATAGTGTTGATGCTATTTTCAGATGTTTTTTTTTCAAATTGCTCCCTGCAAAAAAAATATGTATTGCAATGGACAGTTTAAAAACTTCAAAGCATCTTGAGAGGCTGTGTTGCAAAGTGAAAATAAACTCTTACCATGTTGGTTTAGCTGCATGTTCAGACGATACAACAAAATTGGCTTCATGTTTGTCGGATACTGAACAACATTAACTCGGTGACTCACTACACTCTAGGCTGTGTCTGACAAACAAATTAAAGTACTTGAGTAGCATCAGAATCTTGATGATAAATTTTGAACTGAGCCATCATATATTGTCACTAAATAAACCTGCCATATTGAGATGGCATTCATATATTCTGTGAATGCCATGAGCAGATTGTTGACATCATCATTATTATGACGACATAATTATTTTGTTGGATGCCGCAGACCCTCTATAGACAGATGGCTGTTCTATTCATTGAACAAGCATATATATAGATAATACTTTAATTTAACGAAATGCTGATTGAGAAATGTTGTTAATGATATTGAATTTTCTATGATATGAACAGATTAAAAAAAAATATATATATAATTACATACATTTCATTGCTTCATTGAGTTTTTGCCTTTGTCCAGTTGGTATTCATATTGCCTGTGAATGTTCGCCACCTCAACTCCTGTGTATTTTTTTCCCCAAGATTAGACTTAAATTTATTTAACAGGATTCCTGTTAAATAAATTTTAACTCTTTGGTATAAATACATCGATGAGCATAGGGGAATGTATCATTTTTCCATAACACCTATTTATATCCGTGTACCTATATTTAACTTCTCAAAGCTTGCTTTGTATGATGTCAGTAGGAGACAAGTGCTGATCAATTCTTTACATACATTTGGTTGATTAAGCAGTATATCCTTCACTGATTGATTTTATTTCTGCTTTCAGTGGTAGTTTAAGCAAATTTCACTCAGAGAAGTTTGGCTATTTCTTGTCTGTCAGCTTACGCACAAACCAATAGCATGTTTATTGCGCCCCCAGCAATGGAAATAAATACTGATATAAGCCCGTAGTGGAACCAGCCTGAAGGATGATCTGTCAAAGTGACCTGGTATTTAAGTATTAGTACTCTCCCTTTTATTTTGTCACAGATCATCACACAGGTTTGTTCCATCAGGGACAAGGTTACATCAAGTAGGCAAATGTCAAACCCTGTAATGCTTGCCCAGACAGAACGTGAAACTCAATAAGCCCCTAGCTATAGGTACATGTATTATTGGAAGGGTATGCCAGGTATTTGGTAACACACTAGGCTGCTGTCAAGGTCAAGGTTACATGGAACTTTGTAGATGTAAACTTAAGTATATATCGAGTTATAACATTGGCTATGACGTCAAAAGCACATTGGGACCCTATATAGCTTTTTGGTCCCTTGTTTAGTTCATGTTTCATTTTCAGTGTCTTACCCAAATCAGCTTTGTTTGCCTTTCAAGGACAATTATAGTATTTTAATGTGAATGTTTCTTGCATAACCTGTACTTACATCTCATAAGTATTCTACTGCAACATAATAAACCAAAGAAATGGTTGAAAAAAAGAAACGATCACCATGTGTATAAATGGTTGTATTACTCCATCCTTTGACAGGTTGTCGGTATGGATGTATATGTCACCTGTGTAAGTTTGCTGAACCTGGCCCTGATAGTGACAGTCGGCCTTCTCAGGACACGCCATGCGACAAAGAGTACTGTCGTCTCGGCTGCATCTGTGACAGCCTCATGGCGCGGGGTCACGACCCCATGGTGGAATGCCAGAAACCTGAGTGTCAACAAGGCTGTCTGTGCCTGAAGGAAGAACAAGGGGAGGCAACTGAGGAGGAGAAACGGCAGACACAAAAAGCAGTACAGAAGCGAGTTGAGGCCTTGCCTCGACGACAGTCCACATACAGACTGGCTAAGAACCTAGATGCTGTAAGCAGGAAAGCCATGCTGTATTATGAGAGCAGTGAGATGTACTGTACTGAACAGAGCACAAGGAAACGTAAGAGTAAGGTAAGATTTGCCTGAACTGTGAGATAAAGTGTTTATGACTGTATATCATACAATAGTTCCATTATGTTATATATTTTGATATAACTCATCACAGAATATTTTGGTCCCTAACCTCTTTGAAAAGTTGTGAAATAGATACACATGTATCACAGCAGGGATTTCAATTGTAAAATAACAACATTTTCTTAATAGATTTTCGTCATATATATCCAGTGTTTATCAGTACTGAATCTGTACCTCTGATTTCTTCAGTGATTTTTCTGCATGATAGTTAAATCCTAGGGCTTTTATTTGAAATTTTACTAGAAGAAATTTACTTTCGAAGATATTTTAAGTTTGGAAAGTTTGAAGACTATTTGAGAACTTGTTTGTTGCAGGAAACGGATGACCTTCCAAAGGAACAAAATAGGACAGTCTGTCATACAACAGGTCCCGGACCTGCGTCAGGTCCTGCTACATCTCTGTCCCCGTATCCTGTATCAGCTGTGGCCAACACTGCAGTCTCAGCAGCTACCCATGTCCCTGTTCCATCAGGCATACAGGTGGTGCCCCCACCAACAGCAGCCATGGATGCCAAGATGAGCCGTTATGTTATAACAGCCGGACAGATCAAGTCCTCCAATGGCGTTGCAATTCCTGACAAATCCAAAAATATGAAACCAGGTAAACTCATTCAGAATACCTTACAGCTTTCAGTTTAAATTTTATATATATATACTACAAACATCACCATAAAAAGGGTCAGATCCAGATAAATTCTAAATGGGTTCAAGAACTACTATAATGTTCCGCAACATTTTAAATAAAAGTTTGCAACAGAGCTATCATTCTCATTATATGCCATAGGTATCTCTTTTGATGTTGTGCATCCAATTGCAACAACCATATTCAGGGCTCTGAAACAGAGATGCGGGTGTTCTAAGCCTATTATATTTCCAGTCCGCCCGACTCATACTGTGTACTGGGAAATTTTCTTTGCAGTTTAATTTTCACCTGTTTTGCCTGCTGTAATAAGGGTGAATTTACCACGAACATTACATAATGTGTATAGTAATTAAATGTGAAGGGCAAAATTAACACGGGTGAATATGGATAATTCTGACGAAGAGCAAAACTTTGATTGGGTGAAAAATTCCCTGTGAACAGTATATGTGCCTGCATCGCTGCCATCACTGAATTGCTAAGTAAATATGTATAAATGTAAACCGTATATTTGTTATCAAATATGACTAAATCTTCCGAGTCAAGAGGAAAACAGAAACGTGAGCCTGGAAATCTGAAATACACATGTTATCTGCCTTATATCGTTAAAGAATTAGATTCTGTTTGTAAAGTTTGTGTAAAATGATTGTTAATAACTATACATGTATTAACGACAGATTATAATTATATTGATGTTTTGGGATTTGGATTGTATTGCGATAAACAAATATACATGTCCTTTTCATCTTCAGCTTCCAAGCCATCAAAGCAGACAGGAAGAAAGGATCCTCCATGGTTTCCCTCCAACAAGTCCAGGAAAAAGGTCAGCGTAGTGTTGGTTGTATGGGAGGGAAATAAATAAACCACTGATCAAAAACACACCTATCTACACTTAATTAGATATCCCAGTTTTTGAGCATATGTGAAATATCAAACCAATCACCACTCAGCATGGAATCATCAGAAAATTAACAAACTCAATTTTTATTTACATTTGAAAATTTAAAAAAATGCTCATCAAAAACATCATTTTCCCTTAATGTTATTGTAGTTAATTCTTAAAAGAAAAGTTTTTAAATTAATTGAATACATTTATTAATACCTTCAAATCTGGTAAACTGAAGTGAAGCTGGGGAAACTGTTGATTTAAGTCTAAAAGAAATTTGTCCATAAAATGAAATTTTCTTATCCACTAATTCAGGGAAGCAGTACAATCAATATTTGTTTTACAATCTGGTATTGCATCAGACATTGAGTTTCTTGGTCCCTTGATGGAACCATGGTAATCTACATATTTTCAACCGACAAGTTGACATAATGGCCTACCAGAAAAGTTTTCATCAATGAAATACTTTGTAAACTTGCCCTGGGAGAGAAGGTACCCACTGAGTGGCATTTTATACGATATAGGTTATAGAAACCAGTAACTGTAACACCATGCCAACTACCCCTCCTAGCTTTAACAGGTAATTTGTGTAAATGTTAGTCCTTGAAAGTAATCATATAATTGTGCAGCCTCAAACTTTTGTGATTTTGTTTGTGGAACAAATTGTCTAGTGGATGAATTATGTGCAGCACCATTAATAGTCATTAGCTCTACCTAAGGGCTACAGATTTATTGGGCTTGTATATTTTTATCACAAATATTGTGAAAATCAAATTCCTGTAAAATGTAAACCCTTTACAGTAATGATTTTCATTTTCTATCCAAGACTGGAACTATTTGACTAGACTTTTAAGTTCAGGTAGAGAGTTCCACTACTTTCCTACAGAACTGTATAGCAGTTATATTTCACGAGGGTTTTAATTTCGCTATATTCACGCTTTGACCAAATATCCGCGAATTCTAAACACCAGTTATCGAAAATGTTAACCACTTTTACGAACCTTATCACAACATGTTGAAAATACTTAAAACCCAATGTTGTTATGCAAGCTTAAATGAACTCAAATCAGATTATCACCGGGGCAGCCCATGTAAAAACAACACTTTCATATATGTGGCCACAACATATATGTATATCTACACAGTAGGTGATTGATTGCAGTTTACTCCTACAAATGTACACACACATTTGATTTTCTTTCGAGTGAAATCACTGGCGGATGATGGTGCTCGGGATCAGTGTTTTCAAAAGGTTTACCTGTATTTCGAGGTTTAACCTTTAATTATGACACTCAAAATACTTAGTACAATACATGGGATTCGGGTGCACAGCGAAATATAACACCTGCGAATATGTACAGAATACGAAACCGCGAAATATTGACCCCGCCAATTTATCCAGCTATACAGTATATATATAGGCCTTGAAAACCTGTTGCATCTGTTATTAATGGTATTTCATCTATATTCATACAAAGACAATTATAATGTAAAAGCTAGGGAATTTTTCCAAATAATGTTGCAGAAAAGTATTAACACAGCAAATATAGTGCAGTACATAAGCTCCTTGCTTTTATAAACAGGAGCTCTTTGGATCAAATCCATGTGTCTAACGCAAGCTGAGGTGTTTTTATGTAATAAAAATCTAAAGAAGTCTTTGCTATATATTGTAGTAAATTGGCTTGCAATTTTGCCAGAAAGTGCCAAATTGAATGTTTCTGTGTTGGAAATACAACAAAAAGTGATGGGACTCTCTACCTTGATAAACAGGATGTTTTATTATTTAGACGCCAGTCAAGTTCGGTTTCACAATGCTTTGACTTCACACTCTGTGTATCAGTTTTATAAGTGGATCAGTTTTAATAAATCTAGTGAGGTTTCAACAGTAGTGTCTAGGAATGTTTCTTGTGTCGCCCTCTCCTACCTAACAACACTTCAATCTCTAAATAGTATCTCTCCTGCATGTTACTTATCTTACAATCTCTATTGGCTTACGAAAGTTAGCCATGATTGGTATTGGTGTCATAATTTGATGAAAGACCCGCTTTCTGGCAGGATGAGATTGGCATTCGTAGAACCGAGTTTGATGACATCACCTTTGACGAGATGTTGGAGTCAGACAGTGAAGACAACGCAGAGTTTATCTCCTGTGCCCGAACCGTACCGTATTACAATTACGCTCGCAGGTTTGTACAGCCTTACTTACACCATGTATCGGCAGGTTTGTACAGCCCTCACTTACACCATGTATCTGCAGGTTTGTACAGCCCTTACTTACACCATGTATCTGCAGGTTTGTACAGCCTTACTTACACCATGTGTCGGCAGGTTTGTACAGCCCTTACTTACACCATGTATCTGCAGGTTTGTACAGCTCTTTCTTACACCATGTATCTGCAGGTTTGTACAGCCCTTACTTACACCATGTATCGACAGGTTTGTACAGCCCTCACTTACACCATGTATCTGCAGGTTTGTACAGCCCTTACTTACACCATGTATCTGCAGTTTTGTTCGATGTACCATTTGTGTAATGGTTGACCGATGAAATTTGATACACATGTTTCGCACAATATAAGTTGTACAAGTGATCCATGGTACATTTTAAAAATTCTTACTGGGAATCACACTGAATTTCTGATTTTCTTTTTCATATTTTACTGCATAAATTTTCCGATAATTCTTCTTTGATTTTAATGGAATTTTGGTACATGACCATAACATCCTATAGTTTTACACGATGATTGATTTTTATTGCGACCAATTTTGACCAAGGGAGACACACAACCAGCCATGCAGCTCAAGTCGTACACTCTTTGGCATTTGTGACAGTTTGTTACTCTCTGAATTATGGTTATTTCTGACCGATACTAAGGTTTCACATCTTTTAATTTGTGGTCCATAAAATTGGTAAACATGACAGTGGAGCAGTCGTCTGTACCATTCAGCTCTATTCCAGAAAGTGATCACCACGTAATTCTCTCAGGCGGAGGGGGTCCAATGGGGCATATCAGTTAGCGTGTGACTTACATTACTGAGGGGATATGATGACCTCATGTTTGTTTGAAAATCTTGACACTACTGAACTGTAATTTTCAGAGTTTGTAAATTATTAATTATGTAGCAGTATGTGGAAAGTCATCTTAATACCTGTGAAATATCATTTCAAGACTTGCTAAGGAGGATTTAAGTATTTTGAGAAATCATTGGATCCTATAGGTGTGTGATTGCATGATCCATTGAGGTGACTTGTTAGTAAGTGAATTATGGTCAAAGTTCCATACTGACCTTTTTATCAAAGTCATTATCTTTTTTTGCAGCAGGAACAAGCAGAGATGTACATGTCATATGGACAACTGCACTCAGGGCAGTGCAAGCTGCCAAGGGGCAAAGGCCATGGATTCCGGGGCACAAAAGTCAAAGACAGTTAATTCCAAGACCAGAGAGGTTGGCGATCCTTTGAGCCCGATAGTGATCTCCCCTGGAAACACCCCTCCTTCCTCTCCGTCCTCCCAAGCCCTGAATCTCACCAGGCTGCCGGACCGTATAGGCTGCAATGGGTCAAAGAACGTAGGTTTCTCTACCTTTCCCTAGCATTTCACTGGCACTACAAAATTTCCTTTTTATTTCAACTTGTATTAATCTCTCTTGTTGGCCTGGATGTGTGCGTGCAGGGGTTTTAATGTGGGAGGAAAACTGATTACTTCGGAGAAAATCAACATGGTCGGGCAGGTGACTTTCTTTTCTCGTCTGATCGAGAAATCAATCCCCTGATGCCTTGGTGAAAGACAAGTGCATTATCCACTGCCCTATCCACTCCGCCACTGAACCATCCATATATATTTTCCTGATAAATGCTGAACATTTTAAGTTCTTCGACATAAAATCTCCTATTCCGGGACTGGTGGAATTGTATACACCTATACAAGTTGTTTTGATTGGAAGTATTTACTTGGGAGCAATATACAGATCACATACCGACAAGAGTTCATTGTGTAACTCACATTTTTGTCCCTGATCGATATGATCAATTATTAAGTTAACTCTCTGTCTAATAGTTCTGTCTTTGTCTCTGTAGATACCAGCCATGGGAGCGAGGAAGTCCATTCACACTGGATGGCACACACAGTGGGTGTGTCTGAAGACCAGTAAGAAAAAGCCAGAAGAGGAGGAGGAGAGCTACGAGATACGACTCCTGGAAATGATCTCTAATTGTAACTGGGAAAATGCCAAACAAAAAATCTTGTCCAAAATATCCAACCAGATTTCTCGAGAGCATTATCCCACCCCTCGACAAATGATTGTGGGCGACTTTTGTATCTCGTTCCTACCTCGTTCAGACAAGCCAGCAGTGATACCCCCAGAAGTGAAGGCCAAACTTCCCAAGTCTATCTTTTCCATTAGGATAAAAGTGGAAAAGAAAAGCCATGTACTGAAGACTCGTCTCGGGGAATTTATTACTGAACAGGAAAAGATCCTAAAGCCGAGTCTTGAGGCACAAGACGTTATAGCACTGGACACACCACCCACAACCACTAGTTCTAGTCTAATGTCTGGAGGAATTTCTGGCCTTAGTCATCTCCAAATCAACCGTCACACCACACCCACTACCTTGAAGTGGATACCAGTGTCCAATACAGTGGGTAAAACGGTGACCAGTCCCTCCCAGGTGTCACCTCTTGGTGTGTCGTCCCCCTCCAGTGTCCTCCTGAAGCCAGGGATGTGTTCCAAGGTCAGCGCTCCTCCCCATGGCACTATTGGAAAGAGCCAGCCTAACAACCTAGTCATCTTACAGAACTCGGGTGGACAGAAATATGTATTGGCGTCCTCTGTCACCCAACCTAACCTACAACTCGTGCCTCCAGTGAACACCAACAGTACCATGGTCAGCTCCAGTGTGTCCCAAAACGTTAATCGGGGGGCCAATTCTGCTGTATCTACATCTACCTCAAGTGCAACAGTTGTCAGTTCTAATGTTCCAGTCATGATTTCGAATATGGTCACTACCAAATCAGCATCACTACCTACTCCCTGTAGTAGTTCGGGTGTTCCCATTGTGATTTCAAGCGTAACTTCTAGCACAAACCCATCTGTTCGAACATCTACCTCTAATGTACCTGTGGCTAATATTGGAATACCTCTGATACATTCCAGTCGGGTCTCTGCAAAGATGAGTGGTATTCCTACTGTTAACCCAGGTGAACCACAAGCTGTTTCTCCCGCTAATTCTGGTGTCACTCAGTTCATCCCTAATGTGCCTCAATCAAACTGCTCAAAGACTGGAACATCAGTGTCTTGTCCAAATGTCATTAACATGACTTTCACTCTACCTGGTAAAAGCACATCACATTCTACTGTCACAACACACTCTGTTCCTGTCACACTCCTGGCAAGTACCCAGGCCGTTACAATGGTTACCATGGCTACCTCAGCTTCCCCAGCAAGTTCAGTGAAAAGTGTTCTAAGCTCCATACCTGGTAGCCTGTTGACAAAGCAATCTTGCCATGGTCTTCACCCAAGTGTCAAAGTTCAAGGGGTAATTGGGGATAACATCCTCGCTCCTGCCAATCCTGGTATGGTGTCCAAACTTGTTCCAATTGTGCCTAAACTGAAGCAGGATATGATATTAATCCCAATACCTGCACCGTCGAGTAGCCGTTACAGCGTACCTCCTACCTCTGGCAGCCAGAGCAAAATGACAACAGCTCAGTCGCTTAAAGTTAAACAGATACTAAATGCAAGCAGGGAAGGATCTGGCAAGAATGAGGCCAATCAACCTATGGTAGTGGTTAAGGAGATGTGCCTTGGTCCAAATGACAAAAAGTTGGTCACAAAGAACACAGTGGAGCAGGGAGATGTCTTGTTCCATTCTTTCCTTATGAGTCGGCCCCAGGCCTCTCCTGTTGAAGGGGAGATAAAACAGGGCAAGAAACGAAAGAAAGGTTCGAAAGATGGTGATAACAATGAGGAAACAGAAGTAGATACAGAAGAGAAAAAGAAAAAAAAGAAGAAGAAGAAAAAACCAAAACCTGCCGATGATGATGAGGGAGAAACAAAATCACAAGAGGAGAGCAAGAAAGGCTCAAAAAAACGAAAGAAGAAGAAAGAAACAAGTGAGATAAGTTCTGAAAGTTTGATGCAAAATGAAAAATCTGAAAATGTTGCTGACAAGGCTGACAGGTCATCGCCACCTACAAAAAAGTGTCGCAGTGATTCTACAGAGGAGGGGCAGTTGACTTCTGACTCTGCAAATAAGAAAAACGTGTTGGATGCAAAGTCTGACAAAATGTTTGGAGATATAAAGATAAATACAAAGTGTGGCGAGATTTCTGGGACAAATCCAAATATAGTGACCAACAGCAAATGTGACAAAGACAAAACATCAGATTCAAATTGTGACAGAAATTCTCAGATAGAGATGAAGTGCATCAAAGATACTGTGACAACTTCGGACAGTTTTACTGGTACAAAGTGTAACAAAGAAGCCAACTCTACATGTAATGAAAACAAGGTGGTCACACCAGATCTACATTCTGTTCTCTTTAGCCAGATTGAGAACTCGATTCGTGAATATGATGGTCAGGATGAACCTGAGATTGTAGATATAACAAAAACCTCAGAACATGTTTCAACTAAAGGGCGAAGTGACAGTTTGACCTCGGAAAAACCTAATAACCCCACCACTGTGGTGTTGGACACTCCAGTAGTATCACAAGTGTCCAACACTACTGGAGTGATCGGCAACCTATCTAACAGGTTGTCCTCTGGATCTTCTGACAACAAGAGTTACAGTGTTTTACCTAAAGACAATCGTAGCATCTCGGACAAAGTTGGCAGCCAATCTAATGTTTCCTCTAGGGACAATTTGACAAATCAGCCAGTGTGTGATATGCCACTAACTAGTGATCAGGATGTCACTCTTGTACTTGACTCCCCATCTCGGTTTGAAATGGACACGGAATCAAGTGAAGGGGACCGTCAGTCTTGTGAAACTTCCCAGAATTCCCTGAATGATCTGAAGATGTTGGCGACTGTACAAAAAGCAAGTGTTGACGTCCTTCAGATCATTGAGGGTTCCAAAAACCCTGAGGGGGCAAGACACCCACTTATGCCTGTTGAAGTGTCAAGTGGAGAGGAGGAAAATGCCAAGAACACGGATAACCAGATAACACAGAGCAGGGTCACAGTGGCTGGCAATGACAACAGCATAGACAATGGGAAAGTGGAAAAACTAGTGGGGAAGAGCATGGAGATTGTTAACAGCATTCGGCACCATATCGACCTTTCTCAGGATAAAATCAGAGAAATCAAGTTGCAGACAGTGGACTCAATTAGACAGGAGGACAAAACCCACGAGGAACCTTGGATAGAAGATGGGACCTGGGACTCCAGGATAAGTCATGAGGGCTGTGAAGATTTGGTGATCAATCTTAGTGATGAGGAATCAAGTAGCCCGGAGGCTAGGAATCCAGTAAGGGAGGGAGTGGTCTCGGCAGCTGAAGTAGGAACTGGTCATCTCAAGCGCAACAAGGTTAGGACAGCGACAGAGCCTGTAGTTGGAACAGAAGCCGAGCCTGTAGCGATCATTGTCATTGACGATGAGGACAAACCCAGTAATACCCACAACAAGCAGCAGGTCACAGCTTCAAGTAATGTCAAGTCTAACAGAGTTACTCCCCCTACCAGTGATGAGGTTGACATCACAACAGTCATTAATAAAGAGGTGGGTATTTGATTTTATAGACCTGTGTACCTTGAATTTTCAGTAACTATTAAACTACTTGTATTTGTATTGAAAAATTATTGATGTGGAAAAATTATTAAAAATAAAATTTGAGTCATGTTTGAGACCCAATGAAACTCTTTGCAAATTATTTGTATTTATGTTAGTAAAGTTACTTGTCATTTTGATAGAAGTATTATGTGAAGTGAATTTAAAATGACATAGTTAATTTTCTGTATTTCCTGCTGCTGAATTTTTGGTTCCTGGGGGAAATTTTAAGGTGTGGGATTCCTAGAAGGAGATTGTGTTACGACTTAGCAAAGCAATTTCTTCGAAACTTTCATTACTCCTTGAAATTAAGTACAAGTGTCAGATATGATATGATAAAGTACACAAGCAGATGTGTATTAGTTTTGATGTCTTGTTATACCGTTACAGGATTCCAGATGGGTCATGTGTTTTGTTCCACTGCTTTGCAATCTGTGATATTGTCTTCACCAAATTTTTGTAGTACTCAGCAAAGTTATACACCTTATTTATTGTATTTCGTTAAATGAAAAGTTGGTTCAGTAGCAGGTCCTAAAGTTACAACTACAAATACACCAGTAGTTGACAGTAACAGATCATTGGCAATATTCTTGTTGTATAATACTGTAATGCTCCTGTGAAGTGAGATAATTTTTAACTTACCTTCCTTTAGCAGAACTGTGATAGTGACATAGACATAGAGAATGCGTCTGATGAGGAGAGCGGTTCTAACCAGTTACAGTCCTACATGATGCAGGAGACTCGGCCAGTCCAACAACCTTCTGCTTGCTCCATCCATAGTCATAAGGGCAAGCGCAAAGCTTCCCTCGACACCATCGACAACATGCTCAAACATAGCGTGGAATTTAGAGAGGTACACTACCAGGCTCCTATCGCTCCAAGGGCTATTTGGCTTACCAATATATTTAGTAAAATGTCTTCAAAAAAACCCTACAGCAATTGATAAAAGATTTCTCCAATTGGCTGTAACTGCGGTTCAGTTGTATCTGTTAGACCAGGTAAAAAAGACCTGTCTAGTCCGACACTGAAACGGTAATCCCTTTTCTAATGGAATCTTCTAGATATGAGTAGTGGATCCTTACATCCAATCTTATTGGTCCGATGTCCCATAAAGTGACTGATTAGTGATTAGTCAAATTTCAGTGTATCAACAATATATTCACAACTGAACAGTTTCTTTGTCAGAACATGTTTTTAGTTAAAGGCTAAGACTAAGTAAGAAATAGCCTGCCAACTCGGGGTGAGGGACGACAGTTGTTAATTTCTTTGAACAAAAACATTTTATTTTCATATGAACAAAAACATTTTATTTTCATAATAGTATGAAATGCTAGTTTAATGTTGTTTTTTGTGAAATTCATAAACAAAACATTTTGAGTTAGTGTAAATTTAAGTAGTATTGGTCTATGAAGTAAAGATGTGACCAAAACTATGCAGAATTTGTGGCCTCCAGTATACAAATATATTACGTACCTTGCCCATGATATAAGGCAAAGTAGACATATCAAGGAAATGAATTGATTTTATGAAATATTTGTGATGTATCATAGAGGTCTGTTTGAGTAGTTTGTGACTGGAATTCTATTTCATTACAGGGCCTCGTGAAAAGTAGCAAGAAAACTGGCGGCAACAAAAAGGAAAAGAATACAAAGCACAATTCAATGTATGGATGTCCAGTTACTGTTTTGTTGTAGAAAATTGTAACAAAATATTTAGTGATGACTCTTCACAACACATTGGAATTTTGTTAATCCGGACACTTTTAAGAAATTGGAGAAGAATCAGGGAATCATATTTTTTTGCTGTCGATTTTTTCGTTTGTGTGTTAATGTTGTCCAGCAGAGCAAGTCACAAACATATGTGGGAAAAAAATACTTTAATTAAGTTATAATTATGTGCACATAATTCCGAAAAAAGAAAGATTCTTTTGTTCTTACTTAATAAAACTTGTAGCAAAGTTATTATGTTCTGAACTACAATTTGAACTGCACTTTCATATAATTTTCCTTGATTTATGTCTGTTTTCATTCCAGGGAAAAACAGCGAAGAAGAGATCTGAAAAATGGATTCAAAGACCTGATTGAAGTCATATTTGGTCAAGATGAAACTGGTCAGAAGAAACCTTTGTCTGTTGAGGCCATTCAGGGAGCCTCTAAAATCAAGGTTCTCCACATGGTAAGGAGACCATCACATCATTAGAAAGCGGTTCTGGGTGTCTCTTAAATTAGTAGTTCTGAGTACAGCCTCTATGTAAAAGACCGTTAGATCCAGACTTGGGAAAAAATATTATTATGATAAAGTGTGAGAAATTCTTTATAATCAGAATTGAGTATAAACACTGTTCTCATAAAGGGTTGAAAAATCCTTTAGTTCCAGTCAGGATGTTCTCATAAAGGGTAGAAGAATTCTTTAGTTCGCGTTGGGGTGTTCTGTTGGAGGGTCGCATGATCCTTTAGTTCCAGTCAGGCTGTTCTCATAAAGGGTTGAAAAATCCTTTAGTTCAATGCAGTCAGGATGTTCTCATAAAGGGTAGAAAAATCCTTTAGTTCCATGCAGTCAAGATGTTCTCATTAAGGGTAGAAAAATCCTTTAGTTCCATGCAGTCAGGATGTTCTCATAAAGGGTAGAAAAATCCTTTAGTTCCATGCAGTCAGGATGTTCTCATAAAGGGTAGAAAAATCCTTTTATTCCAGTCAGGAATATTGCAACACGGATCATTTGTACACTCCGCTTTACAAAGGAAACATGTTGCTTTTGAAAACTCGCAATATTTTAAAGAAATCTTTCATAAATTTATATGTAGCACAAAACAAATACATCTTATTCCAATGTTACGTACATGTAACGGACAATGTTCAATGTGTAACCTCCTATGTTCTAGGCTCTGAACATGATAAAGGAGAGTGAAGAGAAGAAGATCCAGTTTGACAGTAAGATTGCCGCTCTTCGCCTCCAGAAAAATGCACTCCTTAGCCGCCTCAACCGCTCCCGATGTAAGTATCCTGCACGACATCCACGGTCATTAACTGCCTACTGAACACTCTGTTATCTCCCGGCACTCATTGACGTAAATGTTGGGTTTCCCAATTTGAGTTAAAATTCAAAGTTTGTTACCTGTTTCTTATCTTTTGTGTTATGGATTGATCACCAATTTCACAAAAATTGAATCTTTTCTTTAAAAATTATCTATAGATTTTGTTTTTTGAATTTTTCTAGCTCTGCTTGTCATGGCTTCATTGTTGTGTAAAACTCATCAGGTCCGTAACCAAATGGTCGATGTCATGCTTGTCTCGCTCATAACTGATGATGGTCACAACATTTCTGATGTGACTTTCATAAGTTTGTTTATCATGACCTAAGGGAAGGTTGTGGAGCATTCTTAGTATATCAGCAGGTTAAATGGTCGTGGCGAGGTCATACTTTTGGTTTGGTTTGCTTGTGTTTTACGTTCCATTAACAGCTATGGTAATTTAATAAGGATGTGCCTGGTCATAAGTCAAATAATTTTAGCATAAAAACTAAACGTGTTTTTTGCCACCAATGATGTTATGTCTCCTATAATTCAGTCACAGCGTCTCTTTTACTGAGAGTAATCTCTGTTAACAATGAGAAAGGTTGAAGTATACCTTCTGAGTTGATTCGTGCCTATTTCTAACTCGATTAGAAGGTATGTTCAATTGTAAGGTTGTATGGTAGTGCTTTGTCTATCTTTCATCAACTTTTGCCTGACACAACATTTCCTCCGAAACTCTTTGTTTAATGAAATCTTTGATTAAATTCCAGGTGATCTGATAAATTCTGGTATGGCTCCAGTAAAGATACAGGATATTTTGAACAAGATTTCCAAGACTTGCCAATTCATCTTTGCAAAAAGGGAGATGTTGATGAAAAAGAGAATGGACACTCTAAAGACGGCTCTTGATACATGTGCAGCATCTGATGTGAAAACTGAGGAAAAGTTACAACCATCCTATTCCAAGGCTCTTGTAAAACCTAAAAAGGCTCAAAATAAATCAAACGCTAAGTCAAAATCAGTGCAGCCACAAATGCCCCTGCCGAAGCTCACACATTTCAAAGGTCAGAGTGTGACCCCAATTCTGCCCAAGAACGTTCCGTATACCGCTGTGCCAGTACAGCTTGTGTCCACAGAGCAGGTGCGTCAGATGGCGCAGATAAACCAACGCTCCAAGCCAGAGATATACATTGACAACGCGGAAGACAGGGGCATTTCCATCAAGGAGGAGCATCTTAGTGAAGACGAATACACTCGAGACTCGCCTCTACAATCCACAAACAGCTGGTCCCAACAGGAGACCAGGCAAGGGGTCAACAGCAGTGTAAATGAAAACAATGCAAGGTTCAGGGTCAGTAGCTCGCCATCCAGTAACCAAGGCAAGGAGAAGGTGGATGAGGAGGAGTTGGACAGGATGAACACACAGTCACCAGTGTTCTCTGATGTTGACATTTCTGAAAATTATTTTGTCCAGCAGGATGAGGAAGACGAGAATATGGAGGCTGGAGTGGACGATCCTCTCACCTCCTCACATGGCTCCAGTGATATGGAATACAAAGTCATAGACACTTCCAGTCACTCAGAGGTCATGGTGGGCTACATCCCTGAGGACACAGGTCAATATAGTCAGGATGGGGGCAAACCTCCGCAGGATTTTGGTAAATCCGAAAAGGACAGTAATTCACCGTCAGTGGGTGTCAGCTGAGGACAAATTAGCAGTGGTCGTTAATTTGAAGATAAACCCATCTACAGTTGTGAAATGTAAAACAGGATGTCGCCAGCTGAGTCGATATTTAGAATCTAGAATCACTGCAGAATTTGAAAAACCTCAGGTGTCTGTTCAGGTGTCGTGTAAGTGAACCTCTGATATTGGTCTTTCAAGGTGGATATAGAAAGCTGTGTTAAGTACTGTCTTGTGTATGTTCGGGATATGATAATGAATGGCACCAGTGTGTTTCCTTATGACACGCGAGTTCAGTAGATAATTGGACAGGGAGTGGATGTCACTTCACGACCGGATGTCGCACAACCCCGGATAATGTTAATACACCTGGTGATACTAAGGATGGAAGGGAGACAACTCAGTGCCTGTATATGATCCTGTGGACATGTCGTAGGTCAGGTGTAATGATAGTAAGTGATGCCTTAGGTGGTGACCTTAAACAGGCATAGATGCAGGTGTGAGATTGAGACAGGTGTGTAATATTGGCACAGGTGTGAGACATTGACACAGATGTGTGAGCTGGTACTGACACAGGTGTGTCATACAGGTGTCAAAATACATATACACACACGTGCACTGTTATAGATCTAGGCTTCCACTGGGAATAATCTTGTCCGACATTATTTTTTTTACAGCCAGGGAAGGTGAACAGGCCTAATGGACCTTTTGTTGTTGCTATTGTTCCTTGACAAACAACTGTTTTCATGAGACATGCTGCTTAGTATAGTCTCCAGTAACTTTGATATTCATAACCATAATTTATAGAAACACAACATAACAATTGGAAATCCAGTTAGCATCAGCTATGATGTTGTAATTATACATTTGTGACATGAGATATGTTATAATTTGTATAGTTGACAGTATATATATATTGCTGTGAGAAGAATTGCTAATGTGATGCTTATGTTCCCAGACTCACAGTCTGGCCAGCTTGCAATACAGTGGATTTTGATACCTGCTGACAGACACGCACAAATGACTTGTCAAAATGGTGATGAATCTATGTTCCTTGTTCTGCCACAAACAGAACATAGTTTGTATATATGTTTATCAAATAGTGCTTTCTTTTTGTTAGTGTGACATGGACCTACTTGTACAGTGCCTCTCCATTGGCTTCAAAAATAATCTCTGCATGCTACAATTTGCTGATATATTATTAAACCTGCTAGAAATGTTTGTGGTAACAGTTTCTTTAAAAATTGGCAAACTTTTGTGGGATTTTTTCAATATTTTCACTGTCCAATAAAATCGGCTTGTCCCTCCAAACCCACCATTGCTTGAAAACCCAGTTAAGCAATAGAAAAGCTTGGAAGTTTATGTAGTTCAGAAATTTACAATATATTATTATTTACTTGATTATGTATATAACTTGTACTTGAAATCTTTGGCATACTTGATGGAAAAGTATGTGTATTGTACATAGAATAATTGTTTTCTTTACTTACTTGTACATAAATACTGGTAAATACATATATGGCACATCCGTAGAATACCCTTTGGGTACCCTTGACCTTTGTACAGAGGTCAGGGAATACCCTTTGGGTACATTGACCCTTGTACAGAGGTCAGGGAATACCCTTTGGGTATCTTCACCCTTGTACAGAGGTCAGGGAATACCCTTTGGGTACCTTGACCCTTGTACAGAGGTCAGGCGATACCCTTTGGGTACCTTGACCCTTGTACAGAGGTCAGGCAAAACCTTTTCGGTACCTTGACCCTTGTATAGAGGTCAGGGAATACCCATTGGGTACCTTGGCCTATATGTAGGTCAAGCAAGGCATGTGATGGCAGCTTGTGTTCATGGCAAATGGCTGGATGCTTATACTTTGTGGATCATGAATGTTACAGTGAAAAGTTGAACATTTATAGTTTTGGACATGTGTTCTATTGGAGTCAGTAACATATTTAAGATATTAACTATTTGTGTATAAATTAACGAATTTGAATGTGTTTGTTCAGGTTAAATGATCACATGTGTATATCATATAAGGATATACACATTACATATTCATTGATACGAGGATGTATGTATATGTGAACATTGTGTGTACATTGTAGTGTATGTGTGTGCAATACTTATGAATGTGTGTACATCACAATATGTGTGTCTACATGTACATCGCAATGTGTGTGTGTGTTGCGAAAATGTACGAGTACATTTGCATTGTATGTATATGTTTTCGTACATATGTGTGTATATAACAAAACTCCGGTCTGTAACTGGTATACACATCCCAATGTACACATATGAAAACATCACAATGCAAAACTTGACAATAGTTGTAAATATATAAATTGCAACATGTGTATTCATTGCATTACGTCATGTTTGTAAATATGTACATAGCAATGTATTTGTGTGTAAATTGCAATATGTGTACTAGTCATTCCCATGTTCACCCATGCAAACTACACATACATTGTAATGTACACATACCCAGTATGTTATGTATGCATGTACATTGGAATGTCTGTGTGCATGCATAGAGATACACATGTGTACATAAAACATGTGCATTGTGGTTGAAAAGTTGATTGTGTTGTGGAAAGATTGGTAATTTAGTAGAGTTTACGAGATATGTGCAGGGTCAGAATAGGGAGACCACTTTTGTGTGTTCAGCGGAGACAGGACATGAGAAAGATATATCAGTGATTGTGTGTGTGAGCCAGGAAAGCTTACAGAATATTACACCTGGTTGGTTGTGATGCTGAACAATATTAGATAGAGTGATGTTTTTCTAGGTAATGATAAACACAGGGACATGTTACATGCTATGAAAATAATATACTGTGATGCCCACTTGTATACATCTTAAGTTTTATTGCATGTGACATGTCCCTGTGATGTTAAACAGTTCTGTTTAGATTCTTCAGTATAAGTCATTTTAAGTTTTGTCAGCATCTCAGAAAACAGGTGTCCGATGCTTTTTCTATCAACATAGATAAATGTTAACATTTTAATAAGTTTAATTTGATCTCATTCCCATTTAAATCATACATCAGATTCTCTTACAGATCACAATGTTCAACCATGCTTTGAGTTAGTTAATCTGTTTTTGTTGACATTTTCGTCTCGATGGCTTTGTACATTTACAGTTACACCTACACCAACATGGAGCATATGAACCTGTGATTTCATCAACTCATAAAGGTCAACTTTGTTGTTTGTGTTTCCACCTGAAACAGGTATAAAGCTGGTGTATACTAGACAATATTTGCCAGTCTATTGTTTGCCCTAATGAAGTACAATTCTCATGAGAGTAAAAATGGTGTAGAGCTTCCCACAGTGTCGTCCGAATTGTTCTGACGTTTTATCCACTTTTTTCATATGGGTCTGTCGTCGATTAACCGACAGACCGATATAAAAAAAAGTCGATAAAACGTCAGAATAATTTGGACTACCAACAGTGTAGAGGTCATTCAGCAATGTCTGAATATTAATGTTTTAGTGTAAAGGGCAAATATTTCACTAGGCAAAATATTCTCTGGTATATCAGAGATTACTGTATGTTGGACTAACTTAGACAGATTTTCTCATCTTTGATATTTTACAGACTATCATATCCAATTCCAGCTATTTAACAAAGAGAGGATATCACATGGACTACAATTATATATGAAAACAGGATAAGTGAATTGTATGTGTACTGTGATTTCTCGCTTGCCAGTTAACAAGCCCCTGTGATCACAAAGCGAGGAAATTTATAATGGAAATTTTAAGTCTAAAAGTATAATTATTTTTTGAATGCTGAAGGTAATGAATTATTGGATTGACTTGCAAATGATTTAAATCATAATATACATTCATATTTGATATTTCATGTATATATATTACAAATGATATTTTAGTTGATGAAAATTCTTTAACAGATGGAATTGTTTTTGAAATATATGTAATATACATATATATTTCTTAACCTATATACATGATTTGCATGAATTTGAAAAACAGTGCAGTACAAAATGTATCATCACAGCAATGGTATCCAAGGGCAGACAACCCATGGACGTTTATGCCACCAAATCATATATAAGAATAAAAACATACTTCTCAACAAATCCAGTCCTTTACTTTTATTACTACTAGTCCTATTCTAAGTCTCACAAATTTTGCCACTCTAAAGTATTGCTGGAGTTAATAAGAAAAAGTGAAGGAACTTTACCATAACTTCAGCTATACTTCAATAGAAACCTTAAAGTAGAGAGTCCAAACAGTTTTCTCTGGTATACAGGTGTTGAAATGGAATTTTCCTGTTAAATTTATGTAATTTTCTTTATATTAACACAAAAAGACAATTGTATGCTAGGCCTTTTTAGGGGACTGAAACAGAAGGAAAAGTATAAAGAAAACTATTACTAGAAGTGCAACAATATCCAGGCTAGATAATCAAGAGGCCCAGGGGTTAAATCCTTGTGGTAGATACATTTGTATGTTTTGAGAAAAAGGAAATTCCTTTATAACTTACTGCTATGGTTAATGAGCAAGCAATTCAATGTTAGAAAACCGCTGAACATATTGGGCCTTTTTTGTTAGATCCCTGGGACTCTCTACCTTAAGTAAAACATGCTGCTGAGACTGGGTCCAGGACAGACTCACGAATCGGTCTATTTTGAGGTTAGGTCTTGTTTTAATCATGTTTAGTTCTAATCAGTACTTCTGACATTTTATGCTCATTATTATTATGTATGTCGAGCTGGGATTTAAATAAATCTGCCATTCTACTACATGATGTGGTTCCGTGTTAGTTTCTAGAAATGCAGATAGGGTAAGCCCTTTCTGCAGAATGGTTCCATGAAGGAATCGTGCAAGAAGTTACTCGAAGGACTATCCAGATTAAACGAGAATACTCTTACAAGAAATATGAGTAAAACACAATATCTGGTACCATTTGCAAAGAGGTTTCCATCATAAGGTTCAAAATGGACGATTTCATGGACGTCTCGATGTCAATTCCATGGAGGTAAGACTTACTACGCCTTCCAAAGAACCGTCCTCACAGAAGAGTTGCGCTACTCCAGCTCAGCAGGACATGCCATTGTCGTGTCTTCTTAGAAGTTTACGTGGGTGCATTTTAAAAGGTCGAGCAACACTTGAAAAGTAATCGTTGAATGATTTGAGTGAAAAATTCAAAGGAATTGTTCCGTTAAAGTGATAAATTTATGGCAGTTAAAAGAATATTGTGATCTATTGGAGGAGTGGTCTAGATCGAGGGAGTTTCGGTGGAGACGGGTGTAGGAGAGGGTAACACTGAATTGTCGGTAATCCACGGTTGATTATCCGCGGGTAATTTACTTTCTCCTGCGAGTATTTCATTTCCACGAGATATATACTTTTAAATGACTGAATGACGGACTCTGGATATTCAAGTCTTATCCCTAGTGGTACAAAGATCACATTAAATTAAAGACATTTTTATTTCGAGGGGTCGCGATTTTAATTTCTTTAGTACTGAATTAGAATAGTCATGGATCATGTCCTTTACGAAGTGCAACCAAATTTCCCCGTATGTAGGTATGAGGTGATTCTATCAATTTATCTGTCTCGTTGATAACACAATATGTTAAAGTTGAAATAGAACTATTTCGCAGTTCCGATAGTGGTGAAAGAACCACAATGACTTAATCGTTATGAAAACAGTTATCGAAAATATCAAAGCAGTCTTGCATTGTTCATTTCCGGCGTTATCTGCCTGTGCTTGGGCTAGTCTAGTTTAACCAGCTACAAAGTTAATTCGAATGAAATATTTGGGAGCTTGCGTTCTTTAACGTTCAGTCGTGTGGAAAACCCCGAGTGTCTGGTTGAGCTGATTGAATCGATTATTAGTTCAGTTGGTCAGTCATCCAAGAAAAAAATAGGAACGTCTATTGGCTACCTCTCTTTAACGCAAACGGCCAAGACTAAACGAGCACGATGATTTCTAAAATTGAAATCTGGAGAACTAAGTTATTCAATACTTGTCCATGCTCTTTAAAATAGACGCGAAGTCAACGTTCTGGTTTATTACACATGATTTGATTAACACTTAACCACTAAAGCTTTTCAGTTGTTATTGAAAGTTATGTGCACACCCACCTCATGGTTTACTGGTCTGGCGTCACACGAGGTTCTCACCTGTTTATTGAGGGTCATGAGAGAAGTTGTCCTAAGACGTTTTGTTTGCTCCATTTTCTCCGATGAAAGTTTAATTCGGGAATAATCATTGAAACGAGTTAGAGAGTATGGTCACAAAAGCCGGGAAAACAGGCTAAAATGTACTCGGATATATTGAATTTGTTCCATCATTTAATCGACGCTCGTCGGACATTTTTGGCTTTTCTATGACGACCTCCAGAGGTGTGCCTATTCGGTGAGGACCAACATGGGACAAGATGGCTCGTGTTGCTGTATATGTTGTTGTAGTTGGCTGCACACTGTGTTATCACAGCCTCCACATATCGTTCTACAGCATCGCTACGAGCAGTGGTGTCTGTCTCTTTGTCACCACGTGTGACAAGCAATGTTTCCTGCAACCCATTCCCACTTCCTCTTCCTCCATATCTGTTTGCACGCCGCCTCCGCCTGTGTGCTTGTCGCTCGTAACAGTTTATTTCATTCCGCTCATGTGACGCTTAGAAGCCTTAAGGTAAACGCCTTCATCTACCGACAGACACCAATCATCCAACCCAGCTGTTGGCATTCTCCCTTCCACTGCTGGTTCCTTTCTCCTTAGGCCATGGTGTGCATCCGTGTGTATCTACATACTGTCTATCAGCGCAACATATTATCAGGAAAGCGTATTCACCAGATTGATAGGTAGTTCTTAATACACGCTTTATGCGTCATCTTTCCTGTCGCCACTGACTTGACGGAGCTGATAGCACATCGTATGTTGACGTTACAGAAAGCTGAGTTTGTATCCCTTCATTTTTCATATGTTGCTCCAGGATGCATTACGCTGTCACACGCTTTCCCAATGGTTCCCAGCGCTTCTGGTTCCTACAGACAGCTTTGCCTGAGTCATGCCTTTGCGTCTTCTCCGATTGGTTTTGTCCCACCAAGATTTAGAAATGACTTGCGTGCCTAGACGAACCTATTGCCTTTGCCCATATCATGTCCTCATTCCCGAGTTTTTTTGCTTTATTCAGCGTTCGTTTTACATCCGGTTTTCAGCAAATTCAAAGCATCGACGTTGGCTGCCCAGACCTTGTCGTCCACGCTGTCCTGCGACATATTGATCTGCCGCACTTTGGTCACCTTAACTCCTTTGCACCATTGAAGGTCCAAGGTACGCTCTACCAACTTCGCATGTATCCGCTGATCGTCCACTCGTACTGTGGTGAGTGCAACTTCGTACACAAGAGTCTACAGAGTTACCCTGCTGATAGCATGGCCTTGAGTTTTCAGAGAGAAAGCTGTGGTCGACTCATTCGATACACTTCTGTTGTTCCTTCATCCCTGTGACGGTTTTTTCTGTCAGTATTCTCGAACCGCTCACTCTGCTTCTCTGTGACTGTTGGTGTTTTGTCTTCACCGATATTGAATATTTCCTCCTTCAAATTGCCTGCTTTAAAGACGAGCCTCTGGGACTTGGCCGGTTTGAATTTCAAGTGTGCCAAGGTGACCATCCTTTCTAGGTCTCTAATGATCCATCGTGAATTCACCACAGTGCCTTTCTATGTCTCTAAGGATCCATCGTGTATCCACCACTGTGCCTTTCTATGTCTCTTAGGATCCATCGTGTATCCACCACTGTTCGTTGTTAGGTCTCTTAGGATCCATCGTGTATCCACCACTGTGCCTTTCTATGTCTCTTAGGATCCATCGTGTATCCACCACTGTGCCTTTCTATGTCTCTTAGGATCCATCGTGTATCCACCACTGTGCCTTTCTATGTCTCTTAGGATCCATCGTGTATCCACCACTGTGCCTTTCTATGTCTCTTAGGATCCATCGTGTATCCACCACTGTGCCTTTCTATGTCTCTTAGGATCCATCGTGTATCCACCACTGTGCCTTTCTATGTCTCTTAGGATCCATCATGTATCCACCACTGTGCCTTTCTATGTCTCTTAGGATCCATCATGTATCCACCACTGTGCCTTTCTATGTCTCTAAGGATCCATCGTGTATCCACCACTGTGCCTTTCTATGTCTCTAAGGATCCATCGTGTATCCACCACTGTGCCTTTCTATGTCTCTTAGGATCCATCGTGTATCCACCACTGTGCCTTTCTATGTCTCTTAGGATCCATCGTGTATCCACCACTGTGCCTTTCTATGTCTCTTAGGATCCATCGTGTATCCACCACTGTGCCTTTCTATGTCTCTTAGGATCCATCGTGTATCCACCACTGTGCCTTTCTATGTCTCTTAGGATCCATCGTGTATCCACCACTGTGCCTTTCTATGTCTCTTAGGATCCATCGTGTATCCACCACTGTGCCTTTCTATGTCTCTTAGGATCCATCGTGTATCCACCACTGTGCCTTTCTATGTCTCTTAGGATCCATCGTGTATCCACCACTGTGCCTTTCTATGTCTCTTAGGATCCATCGTGTATCCACCACTGTGCCTTTCTATGTCTCTTAGGATCCATCGTGTATCCACCACTGTGCCTTTCTATGTCTCTTAGGATCCATCGTGTATCCACCACTGTGCCTTTCTATGTCTCTTAGGATCCATCGTGTATCCACCACTGTGCCTTTCTATGTCTCTAAGGATCCATCGTGTATCCACCACTGTGCCTTTCTATGTCTCTTAGGATCCATCGTGTATCCACCACTGTGCCTTTCTATGTCTCTTAGGATCCATCGTGTATCCACCACTGTGCCTTTCTATGTCTCTTAGGATCCATCGTGTATCCACCACTGTGCCTTTCTATGTCTCTTAGGATCCATCGTGTATCCACCACTGTGCCTTTCTATGTCTCTTAGGATCCATCGTGTATCCACCACTGTGCCTTTCTATGTCTCTTAGGATCCATCGTGTATCCACCACTGTGCCTTTCTATGTCTCTTAGGATCCATCGTGTATCCACCACTGTGCCTTTCTATGTCTCTTAGGATCCATCGTGTATCCACCACTGTGCCTTTCTATGTCTCTTAGGATCCATCGTGTATCCACCACTGTGCCTTTCTATGTCTCTTAGGATCCATCGTGTATCCACCACTGTGCCTTTCTATGTCTCTTAGGATCCATCGTGTATCCACCACTGTGCCTTTCTATGTCTCTTAGGATCCATCGTGTATCCACCACTGTGCCTTTCTATGTCTCTAAGGATCCATCGTGTATCCACCACTGTGCCTTTCTATGTCTCTTAGGATCCATCGTGTATCCACCACTGTGCCTTTCTATGTCTCTTAGGATCCATCGTGTATCCACCACTGTGCCTTTCTATGTCTCTTAGGATCCATCGTGTATCCACCACTGTGCCTTTCTATGTCTCTTAGGATCCATCGTGTATCCACCACTGTGCCTTTCTATGTCTCTTAGGATCCATCGTGTATCCACCACTGTGCCTTTCTATGTCTCTTAGGATCCATCGTGTATCCACCACTGTGCCTTTCTATGTCTCTTAGGATCCATCGTGTATCCACCACTGTGCCTTTCTATGTCTCTTAGGATCCATCGTGTATCCACCACTGTGCCTTTCTATGTCTCTTAGGATCCATCGTGTATCCACCACTGTGCCTTTCTATGTCTCTTAGGATCCATCGTGTATCCACCACTGTGCCTTTCTAT